TTTCACTGACGGGCATGTCCTCAAACCACAGAAGTACTTCCGATATAGAAGCCCTGTACTTTCTATAATTATGTAGGTAAGCATATTCGGGAGCCCTAAGGAATGGAGTTACAACAAAAATCAGGTGTTCATGATTATGTGCCGTTTCCGGGCTCCTATCACTCCTATCTATCGCAGCTTCAGTGCCTTGGCGCAGTAGGCGCAGCCGGGGCGGCTATAGATCACCACATCCTTCCGAGGCCACCCGAGCTCGCTCAAGCACGCAAGCACAGATAGATAGACCCTAAACCCTAAACCCTAAACCCTAAACCCTAAGCAATCGCTATACATACACCCATAGGCCCCCAAGGAGTTCCTTTTTGGGATTACCTGATAGGATTCCAAAAAAAAACCCAGAAAGGAACTACTATGGGGCCGATGGGTATACATATATATATATATATATTTATTTATATATATATATATATTTATATTTATATATACAAGTTATCCATTAATTGAGAACAAAAGTACAGGCACTTCCTGGACATGAGCTACGGAGAGGTACCCGACTCAAAAGACAGCCGTGCTCCACTCCCACTTCTGCATCCCTAAGGGGCCATGTGCCCAAATAGTATATACTTGGGCCTTAAAGTAGTCCCTATATCGGTGCTTTGGGGCCAAAGTACGTACTATTTGGGCACATGGACCCTTGGGGTATGTGCCGTCTGGCGTCTGGTGCAGCTTGCATGGCCACGTAGCGGTTGCCACGAAGGGGGGGCAAGGCGGCTCGCCTCTTGCAAGAACACATTGCTCAAAGGAGCATGGGAAGGGATAGCTAGTTTAGGGTTCAGGGTTTAGGGTTCAGGGTTGGCTATACAGTATCCTATACGCCCTAATCTTAGTATGATACGTGGGATAGCCCCCATCATTTGATTTAGTTGCGGCCCCCTGTCAGCAAGGAAGGAAAGAAAAGGATACGTGTCAAGGTCTCTCTTTCAAAACTCGAGCGACAAAAACAACACAACGGATCCCTTGAATCTGCAAACACAGTAACCGACTGCTTGCGGCGTATTCTCCAAATGCTGCTATGGGAATCGCAGCAGAACCTGGAGAGTCAAAAACTCCATCATCAAGGAACGTATGCCTCAAACGAGCGTAAGAACCCCTCCAGAGCAGAAGACCTGTCGGAGTTTCTGGGAGCCCCAAACCCTAATATAGAGCCCTTAGTAGTTAGAATAGGGTTTTGGGGCCCACTATACCATATAAGTATAATAAGGAACCCCCAAAATAGTATTGGTAATTATTTGGGCCTCTATTCTAGACGCTTGAGCCGATGCCTGTGCTGAGAAACTCCCCTCGTAGGAGGGTTGTGCGAGTCCATAGCGGTCTAGTTTTGGGGCGGTTCCTAAAACATCCACAGTGCAAAGATGTATATAGACCTCGACACCTCTTGTTACTCTGGTTGCTTGGGCTGTGAGGGCTTCATGGCAAATAAGGGCGCAGATCCCTCTGTCTTGTATGTAAGTGCCGCCTATGTCTCTCATTTACTGCTTGCCCTAGCCAGCACTGCATAGTTTCTGAACGCTAATTTTCAGAACAGATCCTTAACTTAGAAGTTCTAAGGCGTAGGGTAATGTAGGAGCCTTAATAATTGGACTAGGGTCTTGGGGTATATTATGCTAGAAATATACTAAGGAATCCCCAAAATAGTGTTGGTAATTATCTAGGCCCCAATATTAACGGCCCCTAAACGGAAGCCCCATGTGCCTTGCAAGTGCAAAGCCAGCAGCCAACAGCGCTGGCGCTGCACTGTGGGTGCGAGGCGGATGTGGCCGGGATCGTAGGTGCAAGACCTAGGGTTTAGGGTTTAGGGTTTAGGTTTTAGGCTTTAGGGAAGGTGCAAGACCTCGCTCCTTCTTCGAATATCCCAGGGCTCCATTTTAAAGCTTGCTCTATCAGGGTCTTTTTCGGGTTTTGTTGCAAGGGCCTTTTTAGGCTCCGCGTATACCTACCTGGTATAAACTCTGTCCTGCAAGGAATTCCCATATTCGGACGACCGGGCCCCTCGAAATGCAAACATCTCCATCTGCCGGATCCCCTATGTTGTGACCCTACTTCCTCCCCAAAATGTCCTAGGTACTGTTATGGCGGATACTTCCCCAAAGCAGACTAGTAATTCCTATTATAGAAACCCTACATTCTAGTGTAGAGGTACTTAGGACCCTTTGGGCTCAAAAGGTTCACTAGCACATTTTCTCGTCGCCAGGAAGCCGTAGATCGCCGAAAGGCCTGACGTGGACGACATACGGTTGATGATATAAATCCTGCATTACTCAAAATGAGGAATAGACCACAATTCCCATAGTTTAGGGTTCTACAGTAGGAAGTACCTATAGTCTCCATTGTGGTGTCTTTTTTGGCTGTGCCATATTAAGGATACCGCAAAAAGGAACTACAATGGAGACTGTAGGTAGGGGTTCAGGGAGCGGTTGTTGGGTCTGGGGGGTTTTCCCATCGGCTGAAATGGGGTGCGCAGTGTTCATCGCAAGTAGCATATACAGAAATACAATCGCCCATTTTCCTTAATTGCGCCTGCCGAAACCCTAACATATAGCCCGGCCAATATTTGATGAAACGCTATCGCTCTGCTCTCCTTGGAAGCTCTTTCGAGAATTTGGCTTTAAGCGTATACACTACTGAAACACCTCAGTAAGAAGCTTGTGGCAGACAATCGGACAATCGCGATCATTCGTACCCAGACCGCCGGGAGGATCCAAAAAGTAGATCCCTTAAGGGGGGTTGCTATCAAGAGCCTTTAGGAGTATAGAGTCCCAAATTAGGGGTTCTACTTTCTAGATCCTTCCGGGGGTCTGGGTAAGACGAATCAAGCAAGGAAGACATGGTGAAGCTGCTGAGAGGCGATGATGATGGTAGTGATCGTCATGGGGCCCTACAGGGGAGATGAAGGTAGGTGGGGGGGGTTAGGCTTTAGGGTCACTAGAAAGTTATACCCCGTTGCCAGGAATCCGTCATCCTATCTTTGTGCAGCCTTTGATGCTCTTCTGCTCTGATCACTGTCCTACTGCCACAACATACTTAGTAGCTAGGCTTATAATTAAGGTAATACTTCTAACCCCAATTAGGGGACTTATAACCTTATTACCAAGTCCCATGATCCTCCAAGTAGCTTTTGCCCTACACCCTACACCCTAAACCCTAAACCCTATTAACCCTTACTTACCAAGTTCCATGATCCTCCAAGTCAAACCCTGAGCCATAAACCGGAAGGATCGCGAAGGCGAGCTTGACTTGATGATCTGCCACAAGACCCAGGGACTCCAAAACCTCTTAATTAAGGAATTTAGGGTTTAGGGTTTAGGGTTTAGGGTTTAGGGTAAGGAATATACCTTAAATCATATTAGGATTGCTGTTATAGTTTAAGGTATATTCCTTAATTAAGGGGTGTTGGGGTCTTTGGGGACTGCACCTATAGATATCATCGACCTTGAACGCTTCAACGCACGCATGATGGCCTTAATTCCCTAACGCAGGGTTCATGCACTACTCCTGCAGTTGGTGGACATATTCCTGCACTATCCATACTAGTGACTTAACGGACTACGATTCTACTTTATAGGTTCAGGGAGGCCAGGCAGGACTTGGCTCGTCAGCCGTATGGGTGATAGTGCAGAAGGCCACTGCAAGCACAAGCATTTTGGGTTGTTTCGGTAGTCTTTGGAGAGCGGAGGACCGGTAAGAATTGTTAGGGTTTCAGGGTTTTGGATTCTGCTGGAATCTTCCCTGTTGGATGTAGGACGAGCACCACCTCTTCATTCGCGCATTTACTTGTCCACCTAGGCCTCACCGCCACTGCTTATGCATGAGGAGTTGAAAACTTCAAAATACCCATGGCACATAATAGTGGCAATGGCACCTCTGCCCCATGTATTCTTTGTCTGGGAGAAATTCCGGCTGGGGAACACTTGTTCCAAGCTTTGCACGCCATGCCTGCGGCTGGCTGGACGCAGACCGTGCGCACGGAAATGCGGCCGCACGCATCGGAATAGACTTCCAGAGCAGATGAGCAGCTTACATACATGTACATAAGCTGTAGATGCACGTGTGTACATATACATTTATACATGTCTATGTACATCTTATATATGTGTGGCGCTGTAGCATGGCTGCTTAATTTTTTGTAACTGCTGTTTGTTCGGTAGACTCTTGACCCATCTCGTTTTGGCGAGTCATGTGATGCTGGCCTCGCAGTTTACTCGCTGATGTTGCTGGCTTTGAGCCTTTGTCGGCAGCAGCAAGGATCTTTCACATGTGACTGAAGCCGTTTAGAAGGGGTTTATACGCTAGGTTCCCCAGCTACCATGCAGTCTTAGTCAGGAGACCTGAAAATGAACAGGGCTAGCGATACTAGGGGAGGATCTAGAAGCTTGATAGACGATGTGCCCACTGACAAGCAAAGCATCCTCGTCATGGAGCCTTCATCACTCTCTTTCTCTCTCTCTCTCTCTCTCTCTCGCTGTCTCGCTCTCTCTTTCTCTCTGTCTTTCATCTCACTCTCTCTCTCTCTATCTCTCTCTCTCTGCCTCTCTGTCTCTGTCCTTTATCTCTGTGTCTCTTGATCTCTGCATCTCTCCCTCTTTCCCTCTCCCCGTGTGTTGGTCTCTCTCCCTCTTTCGGTCTTTTGATGTCTCTCTCTCTCTCTCTCTCTTTCTCTGTCTTTCGCAAAGATGACCACAAAGGGCTACCGCCTGCCCTCCAATGGCTGACGCAACGATTCGCGAGCTGTAGATGCCTTTTTCCTACACCTTCCAGCACATGAGAACTAGATCCTCCTGTCTAGAATCCTAGATTGGCCCATTGATGCCTCACATAAAGCACTCTTAAACCTAAGAGGGGCATATTTCATACTGTGAAATTTCCAAACAACACCCTAAACCCTAAACCCGGCGTCCCTACCTAAAATCCCTAAACCCCCTAAACCCTAAACCCAGCGTCCCTACCTAAAGTCCCATCACGGCGGCAGCGAAGGTCATAGCCACAGCGAGGGTGGCCTTCAGGGCGCCTGGCGTCTCGCTTCATAGGGATTCGGGCGTAGGGTAACCGTATCTTGTGGGAGCCCGGATTATATGGGTTTAGGGTTTAGGGTTTAGGATTAGTCCCATAGGCCCTAAAGTAGTTCCCTTTTGTGGTTTGTATTCATAATCTTATTAGGTAATCCCAAAAAGGAACTAATTACTATGGGGCCTACGGGTAACCGTATCTTGTGGGTGCCCGGAGTATATGGGTAGTTCTCTAAATTAGGGTCCCTTTTGGGATCCTTTATAGAAGGGTGCCGTACTATATTGGGGACTTATAAAAAGGGACCCAATTTAGAGAACTACCCATATACTGATTGTAAGGGGATGTTCTTACTACTCAAGCAGACCTCGAAACTCGAACCAAGAATATGGCTTAGGATCACCGTCATCATCCCTTTGAGACTAGTGGTCGTCTACCTTGTAGACGTCTCGTTTTGCTGGAGACAGACCTGCCTGCGCCGCTGTGTGCTGAACAGGTCTTCACGATGTCCTTGCCGAGACAAGCCTTGTTCAGGGCTGCGAAATTTAAGATTGGCCTTTTCGGGCATTACCCTAAGGGTTCATGTGCTCATATAGCATATACATGGGCCCTAAAGTACCTATATAGGACCACATTAAGGCCAAGGTATATACTATAGGAGCACATGGACCCTCAGGACTAGGATTTAGGGATAGATCTCCTCTGTGCTGTCTGTGGCATCCTCACTGGCCGTAATGGATGCGGCGCTTCAACAGCTACAGCCCCAAAGGCTCCATCTACCTTTATAGTAGATACTTAGGCCTGAAGGGGGTCTCTATATAGGGTTTAGGGTTTAGGGTTTAGGGTCTCTATATAGGTACTTTAAGGCTTAGGTATCTACTTTATGGGCACATGGAGCCTTAGGGAGTAGGAAAAAACGGGAGGGGCGTGAAACAGGAGCCCTCACCAGCACTCGGGTTTGTGTAGTACTTTACAGCCTTGCTGAAGTTGTAGCCCTAAAGTCACCTACGTACACCCTAAGCCCCAAATCCCCAATCATCGTGAAACCCAAACCCTACATCTAAGCCCTGAGAGGCAAACTCGCCTCTATCCATCAGGGCACCCTCAAAACCCTGAGGCCAGCTCCTTCAAGCCCTTTCCGGAAGATGCCATGTTCTTTATGAACCCGCGCGTTTCCATTGCTACGAAGAGTTAAAAACAGAGCACAACCCTATGTCCTATAGACCCTAAATCCGACGTAAAATCCTGAACCCTAAACCCTAAGAGCCCTGAAGCCCTGAACCCTACCAGGCCCTAAGCCCTAAACCCTTCCAGGACCCTCCAAGGGCCCTTTAATGGAGCTCTTATGGCTCTTAATAGTGGGTACTTAGGGTATATCAGAGGGTAGTTGGGGGGTCTAGGTTAACCCTTAACCTTTTAGACCCTACAACCCTAAACCCTAAAACCCTAAACACTTAACCCTTAAACCCTAAACCCTTAACCCTATAGACCCTACAACCCCCAGGAGACCCTACGGAATCGATCTGGGGCCTTACCATCCCATGCGCACTTCTCCAGCTTGGTGCCTGGGTCTTTGAGTTTCGGGTTTAGGGTTTTAGGGTTTAAGGCTTCAGGGCTTTAGGGTTTGGGGTTTTAGGGCTTTGGGGTTTAGGATTTTGGGGTTTTAGGGTTTTAGGGTTTTAGGGCTTTAGGGCTTCAGGGCTTCAGGCTTTTGGGGTTTTAGGGTTTAGGGCTTTAGGGTTTAGGGTTTTGGGGTTTTAGGGTTTTAGGGTTTTGGGGTTTAGGGTTTAGGGTTTTTAGGGTTTTGGGCTTCAGGGTTTAGGGTTATTGAGGGTTTTAAGGTTATTTAGGGTTTAGGGCTTTAGGGCTTAGGGGCTTTTAGGTTTTAGGGTTTAGGGCTTTTCAACTACGGGCAAAAATATAGTATAGGATCTCTTTAAATGGAACCATACGGGCTCTTCTACCTTCGTAATGTGAAGAGGGGGGTTCTAAAACCCTAAACCCTAAATCCCGAAACCTTAAACCCTAAAACCCTAATAAAACCTAGAGCCCTAAACCCTAAAACCCCTAAAACCCTAAATCCTAAACCCAAAGCCCTAAAACCCTAAACCCTAAACCCTAAACCCTGAAACCCTAAACCTAAACCCTAAAGCCCTAAACTGCAAGGGTTCTGTAATGCAGGAGCCTTCGGAGTTGCAATAAGCCTCATTTTTGGTGGGGGTTTAGGGTTTAGGGTTTATGGTTTAGGGTTTAGGGTTTAGGGTTTAGGGGGAATTGAATAAGCCTCATTTTTGGTGGAGAGTACAGCACATTATGAGAGTAGATCACGCAATACTAGGCAATGGTGTAAATGACTGTTACTTACTACATTAGAGAGTTGGGGGCTTAACGCTTCGGGTTCCGATGGGCCCTTCTCGTCTAGCAGATTGCGGCCTTAGAGTCGTTAGGACGTGGGACCGAGCACATTGCAGAATCCTGAAGCCCTTCCTAAGTACCCTATGCCCTGGAAACTACAACAAACCATGAAGCCTTTCATGTAGCAACGCTATTTTCTGCTATGTCGGTACTTAGGACGGTTTGGGCACAGATATCCTCTTGCATGTCTAGGCACAGTTGTCCTGCGATTTCTGGAAAACGCAGGACTCCTTATTCGTCGCGGAGAAGGAGTCGCTGGTTCCGCAGGTGGCGTAGGAGAAGTAGACGGGCTTGCTGTTCCTTCTTGCGCGGGCAGAGGGCGTAGCGGCGTAGGGAGTCATACGCCATATCCATACATGCATGCATGCAACGATACAACCTTTCATACCCAAGCATACACGCATACACACATACGTATGTACATATACATATGCATATACATACATACATACATACATACATACATACATACATACATACATACAGACAGACAGACAGACAGACAGACAGACAGACAGACAGAAAGACGGACAGAAAGACAGGCAGACAGACCGACGACAGACAGACAGAACGACGACAGACAGACAGAAAGACAGACAGATGGACAAACAGACGGACAGACAGACAGACATACGCAGCAAGGCAACCCCGAACTCAAAGCCCGTCCTCATAGATCCCGTCAAGGAACCTTTGTGGATCACGCAGCGACACCCTAAATCGAGCCATGGGTCACCATGCCGGACGGCAAGTAGGACGAGGTCTTGGGGGGCACGTCCTCCAGACATCAGCAGTTGTCGAAGTTAGGGTGCCGTTTAGGGCTCCAGGTTTAACCCTAGGGCTCCAAGTAGACAAATAGTACCTACTTTGGGGTCTAAAGTCCTACTTTGGGCTATCTTGGAGCCCCAGGGTAAAGCTTGCCGCTCTCAGAACCAGGACCCCAAACTAGACCCCAAGTGAGAAAACATCGCCACATGATGCAGGCGCTTAGGGCTTGGGCTCTTTAGTTCTGACTGGCAGCCGGCGGCTCGGAGTTTGAGGATCAAGCGAATTTCTTCAGGTAGCCTCCGAAGACTAACTGCATGGCTAGTTCTCTAAATTAGGGTCCCTTTTCGGGTTCCCGATACAGTACGGCAAGGACCCTAAAAGGGAGCCTAATTTAGAAAACTAACTACATGCAGGTAAGTAGGGACATCACAAAGGTGTTTACTTCTTTGCAAGGGTTCTACGAGTTTGTTACGGGCTGTGGGGCTGGCAGGCAGCTTTTGTAGCGGATTGAAAAGGCGCCCCTTCACATACCCAAAGGGTCCTAAGTATCTATATAGTAGAACGTAGGGTTTCTATAATGGAAATTACTATTATGATTTTTGAAAGTATCCCCCGCAACAATACCTAGGACCGTTTGGGATATGCTTGATCTCACGTCCGATGATCTTCAAGCAACAGTTCTCGCAGAACGACGCATTCTCCCTGGCGCCCACAGCAGTCCAAATCGCACTCGCAAGGGTCAACGTAGCACCACTCTTGCCTGCACCAATCCTGGATTGGCAATTTCAACAACCGGGGTTTCTAGGGCAGAGAGCGGCGTATGCCGTGAGCGGCCTGGGGTATAGGATATACTACACAGGTCTGAACAACTAGTAACAACATGCCTTTATCGTCCCTGTTCTATCTCCTACCCAAGCACCCGACATAAAACACCCAACAAATAATTCTGGCATAAGTTAGCTCTATCGTAACTTCCTGATGGAACCCTTTTGCCAAGGGGAACTAACTTTCCAGCATGTCTGTTGCACAGCTCCTTGCTCCCAATGTCTTTGTTTCGGGACAGGCCTTACAAGACAGAGCTGCTTGGCGTCTAGGGGTTGTCGGTTGTTGGGGGGGGGTGTTCAGGATCTTGGGATATGCATTTTGGAGTTTATGGTTTGCATCTCAGCCCGAAGAACCCAGGCATCACTTTTAGCGTTTTAGTGTTTTGGTTTGTTCGGTGGGCTCAGGCTATTGGGATGTGCGTTTTGGGGTGTGAGGTTTGCATCTCAACCCGAAGATCAGAAGCTATAGTACGATATACACCACAAAACTCCACTACGATTACAAGAGCCCCTACGTTGACAGACTGGACCGGCAGCACGTGAAATCCTGTGAAGCCAAGGGTCCGCGGGCTTGTCACCGACGCAATCCTGACATTGAAGTGGTCTGGCACTAACACTTAACATTCAAAACCATACCTAAAGGGTGATACCCTACCCCCTTTTTTAAGGTACCTAGTTTTATGGTTAGATCTGCTAAATCAAAAACGTAGGTACCTTAAAAAAGGGGTAGGGAATGACCCTATAGGTAAACCTTAAACCATGAACCATTTTCTGGTCTTATAACTCTGACTCGAACACCCAGTATTATTGTCCATAGTCTACTAGTTCTTCAAGCCCCCGTATTCATCTCGGGCCTAGTCTTCAGAGCTCCATTTTATTAATTGGATGTTCATTGGGGTAGCTCTCTAAATCAGGGACCGTTTCTAAGCCTCAGACATAGTACGGCACCCTGAAAAACAGGACCCAAAGGGGCCCTCATTTAGAGAACTACCCCTACTAACCCTAAACCCTAATTTAGAGAACTACGCATTTGCAAACACGGCTCGCTAATGTAATTTGCCACGCATAGGGGCCTGAAGCCCAAACACACAAAGCCATGACCAGATTATTTATTTATTAGTATTTTGGATAGTCTAATATATATATATATATACGTATATGTATATGTATATGTATATGTATATATACATATATAAATATATAAATATATATATATATGTATATACATATGCTCTGTTCTACATTATACTGTTCTTACATCGAAGTATGCTAATTTTGTTTGCTCGCAGGAGCTTTTACCAACCACCGCAGCACGAAACCCTGCCCTAAACCCTAAACC